TACTTGAAAAATGCATTTATTGCAAAAGCAAATAATTCTCACAAAATTTGCTTGTATAACGACAAGTGTGGGCCAGGCGAGGTGGTTCACATCTATAATTCCAACACTTTGGGAGGCCAAGGCAGGAGGCAGGAGGATCACTTGAAGTCAGGAATTTGACCCCACCCTGGGCAACATAGCAAGGCCCTGTCTCTTAATAATAACAATTAGCTTGGTGTGGTGGTGTGCACCTGTAGTCCCAGCTACTTAGGAGGCTGAGGCAGGAGGATTGCTTGAGCCTAGGTTGAGGCAGCAGCGAGCTATGATTTATGCCACTGCACTCCAGCCTGGGTGAGAGCAAGATCCTGTCTCTTAAATAAGTGTGTTGTCACTGTGAATGTTGTGTTTACGTGGTGGTAGTACTGAATTTTAAAGCATTTTTTTTTCAATATTTTCCATCTATTAATATCTGTATGGTCTGTGGCAGGGTCCCTTTTTATTACCAATATTGGTAATTTGTGTTTTCTTTTTTTTCCTTGATCAGTCTTTCTAAGGGGTTAGAAATTGAATTAATTTTTTAAAGAGCCAATTTTTTACATTGTTTTCTGGTTTTTTGTTTGGTTTTGGGTTTTGTTTTGTTTTTTTTTTTTTTTTTGAGACGGAGTCTGGCTCTGTTGCCCAGTCTGAAGTGCAGTGGCACGATCTCGGCTTAACGCAACCTCCACCTCCCGGGTTCAAGCAATTCTCCTGCCTCAGCCTCCCGAGTAGCTGGGATTACAGGCATGTGCCACCATGCCCAGCTAATTTGTTTTATATTTTTGGTAGAGACGGGGTTTCCCCCTGTTGGCCAGGCTGGTCGCAAACTCCTGACCTCACGTGATCAGCCTGCCGCAGCCTCCCAAAGTGCTAGGATTACAGGCATGAGCCACCGTGCCCGGTTTGTTGTCTTTTATTGGTTTCTGCTCTTAAGTGTTTCCTGTTACTTATTTAATTTCCTCCTTTCCCCCAGCTTTGTTAACACTTTTCCTCCAATGTAAATGTAAATATTTAAATTTTCCTCTAAGCGCTGCTTTAGCTGTAGCCCACTGTGGAGACTAAAGCCAATTTTGAGCATTTTAAACAACTTGTAATATATAAAGGAAGTATCATAAAACTGCTGGGATATTTTATGGGACATTGTTTTATAATGTAACATCATGTCTATACTCTCACTGCAAATTGTTCATTTTGTTTCACTCCAGTTTTTTTTTTTTTTTTTTTATCACTGAGCTCTTTTTAAAAACAAAACAAAAAAAGCCTGGCCTCAATCAGTTCTCCCACCTCAGCCTCCCAGACTGCTGGGATTACAGGCATGAGCCACCATGACCAGCCACTGAGCTATGTTTGAGAGCCACTACGTAAAACTGCTCCAGTAGCCAACTGAAGAAACATTAATACAACGACATGACATTTTTTTCACCCCTAGAAACCAGTCTCACTATGTGGCCCAGGCTGACCTCGAACTCCAGGGCTCAAGCACTTTTCCTGCCTAAGCCTCCTGGAGTAGCTGGGACTATAGACTTGCAACATCACGCCCGGCTTAAAATGAGATATCTGGCCAGGCACGGTGGCTCACGCCTGTAATCTCAGCACTTTGGGATGCCGAGGCAGGCGGATCACGAGGTCAGTTCGAGACCAGCCTGGCCAACATAGTGAAACCCCGTATCTACTAAAAATACAAAAATTAGCTGGGTATGGTGGCATGTGCCTGTAGTCCTAGCTACTTGGGAGGCTGAGGCGGGAGAATCGCTTGAACCCAGGAGGTGGTGGTTGCAGTGAGCTGGGAACACACCATTGTACTCCAGGCTGGGTGACAGAGCAAAACTCCGTCTCAAAAAAAAAAAAAAAAGACAACACATCTTGTCTTACGTTGGTGGAACTTTAAAAAATCATGATATCCAGCCAGGCGCGGTGGCTCACGCCTGTAATCCCAGCACTTTGGGAGGCCAAGGCGGGCAGATCACGAGGTCAGGAGATTGAGACCATCCTGGCTAACACCGTGAAACCCCGTCTCTACTTAAAAAAAAAAAAAAAAAGTACAAAAAATTAGCCGGGTGTGGTGGCGGGCGCCTGTAGTCCCAGCTACTCAGGAGGCTGAGAGGCAGGAGAATGGCGTAAACCCGGGAGACGGAGCTTGCAGTGAGCCAAGATGGCGCCACTGCACTCCAGCCTTGGCAACAGTGCAAGACTCCGTCTCCGTAAAAAAAAAAAAAAAAAAAAAAAAAAAAAAAAAAAAAAAATCACGATATCCAATGTTGGCATTATTGAGAGGAAAACATGATTTGGCAACATGTATTAAGAGGCTTAGACCGGGTGCAGTGGCTCACGCCCGTAATCCCAACACTTTGCTAGGCTGAGGTGGGAGGATTGCTTAACCCAGGAGTTCAAGACCAGCCTGGGAAACATGGCGAAACCCGTCTCTACAAAAAAGGAGCGGGGCGTAGTGATGCGCGCCTATAGTCCCAGCTACTCGGGAGGCTGAGGCAGGCGGATCCCTTGAGCACAGGAGGCAGAGGCTGCAGTGAGCTGAGATAGTGCCACTGCACTCCTGAGCAACAGATTGAGACCCTGTCTCAAAATAAATAAATAAAAAGGCCTTAAAAGTGTTTATTATCTTATTCCTAGTAATATGATGCTGAGCAGTTTAAACACATAAAGTGCACGAAAGATTTATGTATGAGGATATTCTTTAAAACAAGGAAATGGTCACTTAAAGTGAAAAAGGCAATTTCCAAAGTACATTTTTTTTTTCTTTTTTGAGACGGAGTCTTGCTCTGTTGTCCAGGCTGGAGTGCAGTGGTGCAATCTCGGCTCACTGCAAACTCCACCTCCCAGGTTCAAGCGATTCTCCTACCTCAGCCTCCTAGGAGCTGGGATTACAGGGGTCTGCCACCATGCACGGCTAATTTTTGTCTTTTTAGTAGAGATGGGGTTTCACCATGTTGTCCAGGCGGGTCTCAAACTCCTGAACTCAAGTAATCCACCTCCATCAGCCTCCCCAAATGCTCGGATTACAGGCGTGAGCCACTGCACCCTACCAAATACAATATTTCAAAAGAATTCACAGAGTGGAAACAGGCACATACCAAAGAGGCAGTTGTGGATCCAGTAGCCCTGCCTCCAATTCTCACAATTTACAGATTCAATCTTAATTCCCATTCCCTCATCCCAAGAGAAGTAGAAAAATACCAATATAGCTGGAATAATGTCAGGTGGAAATAACTCAGAAGCCACTCAAGGGAAAAGGCATGCAGAGGGGCCTAAGGGAGCCAGTAGGATTCCAATTCTGGTTACAGAAAAATCCAAATCAAAATTACTCTGACAATCTAAAGGAATGAGATATTAATTATGTTCCCCTGGGGTTGTGAAAAACAGCCCTGCCTTTTGGAGATTAGAAGTGAAGCAGGTGCCGGGCACGGTGGCTCAAGCCTGTAATTCCAGCACTTTGGGAGGCCGAGACGGGAGGATCACGAGGTCAGGAGATCGAGACCATCCTGGCTAACACGGTGAAACCCCGTCTCTACTAAAAAAATACAAAAAACTAGCCGGGCGTGGTGGCGGGCGCCTGTAGTCCCAGCTACTGCGGAGGCTGAGGCGAGAATGGCGTGAACCCGGGAGGCGGAGCTTGCAGTGAGCTGAGATCCGGCCACTGCACTCCAGCCTGGGTGACAGAGCGAGACTCTGTCTAAAAAAAAAAAAAAAAAAGGAAGTGAAGCAGGTAAGAACCATATCTAAAGCAGGAGAAGAAGCCTCCCTCAGTAGGTGGTTGATAGGGGTTTGAGAATCATCCAAGTTAATCAGGGTGACTATAGATAATCCGAGTGTGTTATATCCTGACAGAAAGCAGGGTGGATGTGCCTTGGCAAAAACAAAATAGAGACCAAGTTGCAGGCATGAGTGGACCAGTGCCCATGACTCTCTTCCAGTAGCCTACAGTAGATAAGAGTGCTGACTTACCCGAGAAGTCCTGCTTGGCTGGAGAAGGGCATCAAGCTATTTATCAGTGCCTCATGCCCTTGACAGTTAAGATCATGAGAGGTTTATTTTAGAGAAAACAAACTTGACAGGGGCGTCTGCCCAAGTTAGGTCAGAGGCACACTCTTACAGACTAAGTAAGTTTTTAAGGATTCGGGGTGGGAGAGTTTATCAGAGGCTTGGATTGCTTCTGCATCTCTTTGTTGCGCTTATCTGGGAGGGAGAGTTGTGTGTCTGTTCCCATACATCTTTCTGCAGCTGCAGGCATACCTACCCCCGAGTCTAATTTTTGTATTTTTAGTAGAGAGGGGGTTTCACATGTTGGCCAGGCTGGTCTCGAGCTCCTGACCTCAGGTGATCCTCCCGCCTCGGCCTCCCAAATTGCTGGGATTACAGGCGTGAGCCACCTGCGCCCTGCCTAAACTGTTCGGGTTCTAACATTCCAGCATCTCCCTGCGGAACGCAGCCAGGCCTTACTCAGGCCTTCCAAACAGGACTCTTGCAGTTCCTGGGGCTGGTCTAGGGTCGTCTCCCTGGGGCCACGTTTTCTAAACGTATCACTTCCAGGATACGTGCCTCCAACAGAAGGAGGGAAGGCTAGGAAACAAAAACGTGGATGCGGGTGAGGAGCCGTCAGGGTTACAGCCACGACAACCTGGACCCTGGGGAACTCGGAGGTGCCACTCAAGAGCCGAAAGCCTGCCCACTCGGGGTGGGGCGGCAACCCGGAGAGCCAATCAGGAATAAGGAGTCCGATTCATGAAAATGTAGCCGAATTCTGACTGGGATACTCACTGTGAGAAGGCGGGGCAGAGTTGCAGAAAGTCAACGGAAGTCGGATCTCTGAATTTCTGTTCTGTTCTGTAGCAGCCTCCTAGGCGGGGCCAGGAAAAAAATCCCGGTCTCCCGGCCTCGCCCCGCCTTCCAATAGTCTGCGCTGACTGGGCGGCGAGGGACGAGGGGGAGCCAATCAGAAGTCAGGACTCGCGGGGCTTGGAGGAGGGGCGCGGGGGCTGCGGCCTCTGCGGACCCTGCGGACCCTGGTGTACCTCCTGGCCACAGTGCCCGGCCGAGGCCACAATACCCGGCTGCTGGAGAGCGGGATCCACCCCAGGACGTCGGGTCGCTGCGGGTGAGCCAAGGAGGGGAAAGCAGAGACGAGCCCCGCGTCCCCGCTGCGGGAGTCGGGGGCGTCCCCGAGGGCAGGGAGTCTCGCTGCGAGTGTGGAGCTGCGAGTCCTACGCCTCAGGCTCCTCCAGTCCGCGCTACCCTCAGCTCGCTGCGTGCGTGATGGGCAAGTCACCCTTCTCCCCGGACCTCACCTGTAACCTAGGAGGGCTGAGCTGGGCCCCCAGAATGAAAGCGTGGCACCCGAGAAGCTGTCGAGGGCAGCCCTCCCAGGTCTGTGTGGGGTCGCTGGCCGAGGACTGTGCCGGCGCCTGGCAGGTGTCTACTGGGAGCAGTCTCTGAGCTCCACTGGACCTCACTGATAACGCTGCGAACCTGACTCGTGCGCCCTCCTCCTCTCTTTTCCTGCCTCTTGGTTCAGCAGCCCCTCCACAGCCCGCTCACCCACCACTCTTTCCCCTTCACCCACCAGGAAGACCCTTAAAAGCACCTAGTAGTGTATTGTTGTCTTTGAAAAACTACAGATGCTAGATTCCCCACCTTTCTCTTTCATGATCCCCTTGGGTGTGAACTGCCCCATGGGTCTGTGGAGTGAAGGTCACCCTTGGTTCACCGTTTAGTATTAAATAAGGGACTAGCCTAGGGGCTGAGAATACAGACATTGACTGGGTATAATCCCTTGGAAGGACGCAGCAAAAAGGAATGTAGGAGAAGAAAGGTAGAGTTGGAAGACATGCTAAGGTTGAATTTACTAGACTTTGTTACACGTTGGGAGTGAGGGACAGGAAAGAATCAATAATGACTCCAGTTTCTTGTCTGGTATACTTTGCACAAAGTACAGAGCTTAAGGTCCAGCCCCCGCTGGCTGTAGGACAAAGGTGGTGAGAGTCTGGCGCAGATCCTGGAGTTGGAAATCACACTTGCTTCCTGCGGGCTTTTTCAGAAGCTAAAATACTGTTGGCCGGATATATAGAGCAACAACATATAGTACCTGAATTCCTCCTCTCCTTTTGAATGAAGTTGGAAAAAAAGTTAATAATTTTTAAAAATGTGTGAGTGGGCAACATAGCGAGACACTGTCTCTAAAAAAATAAAAATAATAAAATAAAATTAAAAAGACAGGCATGATGGCTTGCACCTGTAATCCCAGCACTTTGGGAGACCAGGGTAGGAGGATTGCTTGAGCCCAGAAGTTCGAGATCAATCTGGGCAACATAGTGGGGCCCTGTCTTTACAAAAAGTAAAAAAAAACAAAAAAACAAAAACAAAAAACAAAAACAAAAACAAAAAAACAAAAAAAAACCCAGGCGTGGTGGCACCTGCCTACAGTCCCAGCTACTTGGGAAGCTCAGGTGGGAGGATCCCTTGAGCCCAGGAGTTGGAAGCTGCAGTAAGCAGTGATTGCACCACTACTCCAGACTGGGTGACAGGGTGAGACCTTGTCTCAAAAAAAAGAGAATTCCTCTCCATACATAGGAGACATTTGATTAAGATGGACATGTCTGATAAACGTATTTTTTTCTTTGTTTTTCTTTACTTTCAGGAGTTGATCTGTGCCATTAGTTCTATGATTTGGAGCCCTTGTATAAAGAAAAAAGGCAAACTTAAAAGAACTTTAGTGGCATAGAATACTAGATCTAGGGCCGGGCGCCATGGCTCACGCCTATAATCCCAGCACTTTGGGAGGCCGAGTCGAGTGGATCACGAGGTCAGGAGATCAAGACCATCCTGGCTAACACAGTGAAACCCCATCTCTACTAAAAATACAAGAAATTAGCCGGGTGTGGTGGTGGGCGCCTGTAGTTCCAGATACTCGGGAGGCTGAGGCAGGAGAATGGCGTGAACCCGGGAGGCAGAGCTTGCAGTGAGCCCAGATCGTACCACTGCACTCCAGCATGGGCAACAGAGCAGGACTCCGTCTCAAAAAAAAAAAAAAAAAAGAATACTAGAGCTAGAGGAGACTTTTAGTAATAATCTAGTCCAACTCTGTTTTAGAGGAGAACATGACTAGTCCAGAGTTTCAGAGGTTAGGTAGCAGAGCTGGGACTAAAATATGTCCTATTTCTCCCAGCACAACTTTTTATTACATCAGTCGCTTTGGATGGCCAGAGCTAACAACCTTGCTTTATATGGCTATGGAAAACAGGGCTCTCCTAAAAGGAGCTTAACAAGTCAAAGATTGTATGGGAACATCTGGACTAGAAAGGAGATTGGCCTTCACCAGTTTCCTCTAAGGTTCCTTCCAACTTTAGGAACTTATCATTCATTTCAAATTCAGAATTGTTCTGACATCTCTCACACTTTGGGAGTTGAAAATGACTCCAGGAGTTCATCTTGGAGTTAATGCTTCAGTTCATATTACATTTTGAATACTTACCTTATACCAGTTTACCTATCTCCAGAAGGAATGTTAAAATTCCTTGTAAAGTTTTAAGCCTAAATACAGGGTGACAGGATGTGTTGGTTCCCAGAAGTTTCAAGTGCAAAGATTGTTTTGAAACTCCATTTAGGCTTTGTCACAATATTTTCAGTGAACAAAATCTGAATGGCCTAACTTGCTTCTGAAAGCAAATGCCTGGTTAGAAAGTAAACAGGAAACATGATTGTCAAGAATGCATTAACTTGCAGTAACAGGTGATGGAAACCGACCAGTGGCACAAGCTATGCAAGTTAAGAGGCTGGAGCAATCACTTTGGGTAGGAGGATCAGGGAAGGCCATGGAGGGGGGTAGGGGGTGGTTAGTGTTTGAGGTTTACCTTTCCCTCCCTCCCTCCCTCCCTCCCTCCCTCCCTCCCTCCCTCCCTCCCTTCCTTCCTTCCTTCCTTCCTTCCTTCCTTCCTTCCTTCCTTCCTCCTTTTTCTTTTCTTTCTTCTTTCTCTTTCTCTTCTCTCTTTTCTTTTCTTTCTTTTTGACAGAGTTTTGCTCTTTCCCTTAGGCTGGAGTGAAGTGATGCAGTCTCATCTCACTGCAACCTCCACCCCTCTGGGTTCCAGTGATTCTCCTGCCTCAGCCTCCTGAGTAGCTGGGATTATAGGCGCCAGCCACCACACCCAGCTGATTTTTATTTTATTTTTATATATTTTTTAATTTTAGTAGAGATGGGGTTTCATCATGTTGGCCAGGCTGGTCTTGAACTCCTGACCTCAGGTGATCCACCCACCTCAGCCTCCCAAAGTGCTGGGATTATAGGCGTCAGCCACTGTCTCTACCTACCCTTATTTTAACTTGAGTCATCAGGCTATAGTCCTGGGATTGAGGCAGGGAGGGGGTCATATAGGAGATTTCTGGTGTGTCTTCCTGAATGTTATCCCCTTTCCCTCACTGGAGTTAGGTGGGTTTTTGCTGTGACAGAGCCAAGTAAATTAGGCATTAACAGGCATATGGTCTGATTTTTGGAGTTCCAAGAAAGTCCTAAGATCCACCTCCCTTTTCCTAGCCAGTTTCTCAGAAGGGCTCTTTCTTTTTTAAAGGTAAATTTTACATTCAGTGATATTCACAGATCTTACTAGTTTACTTAGGTTTTAAGTTTTGACAAATGTAAGCCATGTAACCAAAGACTAATCAAGATGTAGAACACTTGCCTTTCAGAAAGTTATCTCATGCCCCTTCCCTGTCAGAAGCAACACATCTTCCACTTTCCAGAAAAGCTAACTGTTCATGAGATTCTTTATTTTTTTTCAATAGAGAAGGGGGTCTCATTATGTTGCCCTGACTAGTTTCGAACTCCTGGCCTTGAGTGATTCTCCCACCTTGGCCTCCCAAAGTTCTGGCTGGGATTACAGGTAGGAGCCACTGTGCCCAGCCCATATGATTGTTTTTATATAATACTGTATCCCCTGAACAGCAATCAAAACATACCCTAAAATTCAGCTCACTCTCACGATGTTATCAATTATTTACAACTTAGTATGAAAGAAGGATTAGAATAAAACTATTTTGGGAAAACAACATGAGATCGTAACAACCTTAAATATTTGGTTCCTGAAGGATGTTCAGAAGCCCTACATTGTCTTTCATATGTAGCTAGATGCTCAGGAAATATACCAGCTATGAGTAGCAGAGGGTGGAATTACCAAGTAAAAGAAAACAGTCTCCTGCCTCCCCCATGTATCCAAATCATACTTAAAAATTCAAGGCCCAGCATAGTGCTCATGCCTGTAATCCCAGCACTTTGGGATTACAAAACTGAGGCAGGCAGATCACTTAAGCCCAGAAATTAAAGACCAGCCTGTCCAACATGGTGAAAACCTGTCTCTGTAAAAAATACAAAAAATTAGCCTGATATGGTGGCTTCTGTAGTCCTAGCCACCCAGGAGGCAGAGGTTCATAGGAGGCTGAGGTTCAGGATCACTGAGCTTGGTGGTTGAAGCTACAGTGAGTTGTAATCACGCTGTTGCACTCTAGCCTGGGTGATAGAGCAAGACCCTGTCTCAAAAAAAAAAAAAAAAAAAAAAAAAAAATCAATTCCGGCCGGGTCCAGTGGCTCACCCTGTAATCCCAGAACTTTGGGAGGTGTAAGTGGGAGGATCACTTGGGGCCAGGAGTTTGAGACCAACCTGGGCAACAAAGTGAGACCCCCATCTCTATCTTTAAAAGTAAAAGTTCAAATCTATCTTCTCAAGAATGTCTTCCCTTAGGCTGTAGTAATTTCTCTCCCTCTCAGCTTCTGTCACAGTTTTGGCAGATATTAATTTTATAGGTCACAAACTCAAATGTAACTTTATTTTTTGCAATTGACCTTAATTTTAATTTTAAGCCGCTATTCCTCTCAGCAGTGGAAAACATATTCTTTACAATTTAAGGTAATCTCAGTCACTTCAGTGTTGATTCAGTCATTTCAGGTTAATACTTACAGTTAATACAGGGTTTTCTTTGGCTCTCTGGCCCTATCTCCTCTAGTGACTCACACAATACTTAGCTCATCAGTCTATGTTTTTCTATTTGAAATATGCATAATAAATTAAATGATGATCCTTATAATTTAGCAAAACTGTGACTATAAAAGATCACTGTATTTGAATTTATTGTTAAACCTAAGATGGTAGGAATATAGTCAAAAGGACATCATCATGGATTAGAAGTCTGGAGAGCTGAATTCTCTTTTTTTTTTTGAGATGGAGTCTCGCCCTGTTGCCCAGGCTGGTGTGTAGTGGTGCAATCTTGGCTCACTGCGGACTTGACCTCCCATGTTCAAGTGATTCTCCTGCCTCAGCCTCCTGAGTAGTTGGGATTACAGGCGCCCACCACGACGCCCGGCCGATTTTTGTGTTATTAGTAGAGATGGGGTTTCACCATGTTGGCCAGGCTGGTCTCAAACTCCTGAGCTCAGGTGATCTGCCTGCCTCTGCCTCCCAAAGTGCTGGGATTATAGCCTTCAGCCACCAGGTCCAGCCCGAGAGCTGAATTCTTACTTAATATGTAACTTTGGGCAAGTCACTTAACCTCTCAGAACCAAAATTTCCCCTATAAAATTAATGGGGGAGGAGGAGGGATTGGACGAGGTGATACCAAGGTGCTTTCCTGATCTGTGTTTGGGAGGTAAGTTTAAAAATAATTTGTCCTATAAGAATTTGTTTGCACTTGCCAAAACATCTACTTCTTGACCTTATTCACTGATTTGATATTTTTTAACTTTATGAGTAAAACTTAACAATCAAAAGAAGTACAGAATCAGTAAAAACATTGTTGGTCTGTCTTGAGAAAAATCATTTAAATAAATATATTCATCCTATGTCCCCTTTCTGTTTGCTACTTTTTGTTCCCCTAGACATAATGTCAAGTGGAAATGATCAGCAGTCAGAGGCTCTTAGCAAACCCACCTTCAGTGAGGAACAGGCCTCTGCATTGGCGGAGTCAGTGTTTGGGTTGAAAGTTTCCAAGGTCCAGCCACTTCCTAGCTATGATGACCAAAACTTTCATGTCTATGTTTCAAAAACCAAAGATGGCCCAACTGAATATGTCCTCAAAATAAGCAACACCAAGGCTAGCAAAAATCCAGACCGGATTGAAGTGCAGAATCACATCATCATGTTTCTGAAAGCAGCTGGATTTCCAACATCCTCTGTGTGTCGCACTAAAGGAGACAACACAGCTTCTCTCGTGTCTATAGGTAAGAGATGACCAACTTGCTGACCCATTACCTATCCAGACACATCACTGCCTTTTGACCACAAGTAGAACTATGAAGGGCAAGTTCATAATTCCAAGTGTAGATGTGGTTGTTATTTTTTTAGCAACCTCAATAGTACGCCCTTAGAGGTGGTTATTTTTTCAGTGTTGGGAGAAGCCACAGCATCATCAAAGTGGTGATTGGTCCTCTGATTGAGTAGTGGTTAGAGCCCAATGTGGTATAAGTTTTCTGTTTAGAAAGGCCCTGACAGATAGTAACTAAGGGAACTTGTGAAAATCAGGGGAACATTTTTTGTTTTGTTTGTTTGTTTGTTTTGTTGTTGGTGGTTTTGGGTTTTTATTTTTATTTGTTTGTTGTTTTTTGAGATGGTCTCACTCTGTCATCCAGACTGGAGTGCAGTGGCGCAGTCACAGCTCACTGCAGCCTTGACCTCCTGGGCTCAGGTGATCCTCCCGCTTTAGCCTGCTGAGTAGCTGGGACTACAGGCACGCGTCACCACGCCCAGCTAATTCTGTAGTGTTTTTGTAGAGGCAGGGTTTTGCCATGTTGCCCAGGCTGGTCTTGAACTCCTGGCCTCAAGTGATCTGCCTGCATTGGCTTCCCAAAGTGCTGGGATTACAGGCATGAGTCACCATGCCCGGCCGGTTTTTTTTTTTTTTTTTTTAACCAGAAAAATAATAAAATATTTTTATTACTTAGAGAAGCTATAAATTCTGGTGCTGCAGTATAGTAGAAAGAATATTGGGAATCAGGAATTTTAGATTTTAGCTTTGTCATTACTGTATATGTAACCTTGGACACATAGACCACTTAAATCCCTAAGACCACCAGTCCTCATCTGTGAGATAGTCCTTTTCACCTCAAAATACTAAAATGCCAACAATGGACCTAATTCAGCTCTTTAAGCAGCAGGCTAAAACCAATTTCTTCAAGTTTTTTTAAAGGTTCGAAATCTTGATTGTCTTTTTCTCTCTTAATTGTTCACCATTCTTTCTTAATTTGCATTGCTACAAATACCTGAGGCCCATTGTTCCCTGAGACATAGTTATTGTCCTGTGTTGCAAACAGAGGGTGTCCTGCGGGAAGCCTGATTCTGGAAGTCATTTATTGGTACCTCACTCCCTTCAACTGTGAACTTATGAAAGGGTATGTGTTGTTGCTTTCATTTACCACAGTAGGTAATTTCTGTGTAGAGCTAAGGCCAGCAGAGTTAGGGCTATAATTTTGTTGGTATGTAAATGGCCAGTTCCAGTGTTCTTAAGGTTTGTGTATTCTACCTTCTTGCTTCATCCACTCAACTCTGCCTCATAGAATCCTGCCGAGCTGTTTTAGATTAGCACATTTTTGTTGTTGTTCTGTAATTTCTGTTCTTTTCAATAATACTTGCAAAGGCATAATAGCTTCTAATTCTATTATATCTAAATATCTATATCTATCTGTCTCTCAATGTATATATTTAAAATAGTCAAAGGATATTTTATTCCATCCATTTAGATAGTGGCTCTGAAATCAAAAGCTACTTGGTGAGGCTGCTGACTTACCTCCCAGGAAGACCCATAGCTGAGATTCCCATCAGTCCCCAGCTATTGTATGAAATTGGAAAGCTAGCTGCCAAATTGGATAAGACACTGCAGGTAAGATATGGGGCTTTATTTTATTCTAAGGGACGTTTGTTTGTTATTTTATTTTTAAAATAAACTAAGAATCAGATTCTCTTTTTATGTATGGTGCACCTAAGGTATGTTATGAAGGGAATGGAGTCCTAGAGTGCATACATTTTATGACAGTAAGGCTAACTTCTGCCAAACTCTTACTGGTGTAGTCCGGGTGTGGTGGTCCACGCCTGTAATCCCAGCACTTTGGGAGGCTGAGGCAGAGGGATCTAACTTGAGGCCAGGAGTTTGAGACCAGCCTGGCCAAAATAGCGAAACCCTGCCTCTTCTAAAAAATACAAAAATTTAGGGCATGGTGGCATGTGCTTGTAGTCTTAGCTACTTGGGAGACTGAGGCAGGAGAATTGCTTGAGCCAGGAGGTGGAGGTTGCAGTGAGCCGAAATCACACCACTACTCCAGCCTGGGCGACAGAGCAACGCTGTCTCTAAAAAATTTTTTTTAATTTTTTTTAATTTTTTTTTTTTTTTTTTTTTTTTGAGACGAGTCTCACTCTGTCGCCCAGGCTGGAGTGCAGTGGCCGGATCTCAGCTCACTGCAAGCTCCGCCTCCCGGGTTTACACCATTCTCCTGCCTCAGCCTCCGGAGTAGCTGGGACCACAGGCGCCCGCCACCTCGCCCAGCTAGTTGTTCTGTATTTTTTAGTAGAGACGGGGTTTCACCGTGTTAGCCAGGATGGTCTCGATCTCCTGACCTCGTGATCCGCCCGTCTTGGCCTCCCAAAGTGCTGGGATTACAGGCTTGAGCCACCGCGCCCGGCCAATTTTTTTAAATTAAAAAATAAATAAATCTTACTGGTGTATTGGAAAGATTACCTAAATTTTTAGAAATTCATGATATTCTTCATGCTGCTCACTGAAAACAATCAATATTCACAAATGGAAACGTGAAGATTTCATCCAGTTACAGTATAATCAGCTGGAGTTCCGTATGAAGCAATAGCTAGGTTGCAAATGGATTAATAGTGTATGTTAAGGATGTTTTTGCCCTATAGAAACGATATAATGTATGACAGGTGCCTTTTAGACTCACCCATAAAACATCTTGATTTATTCAATATTGACTGAGTACCTTTTATATTAAAAAAAAATCACAAGACAAAGGAAATATATTTACTATTTATTAAGTAGAAATGGGTCATCATAAAGGTCTTCACTGTCATCCTCACTTTGAGTGGGCTGAGGAGAAGGAGGAAGAGATGGGGTTGGTCTTTTTTTTTTTTTTGAGACAGGGTCTCACTCTGTCTCCCAGGCTGGAGTGCAATGGTACAGTCACAGCTTAATGCAGCCTCAACTTCCCAGGCTCAAGCAGTCCTCCCATCTCAGCCTCCCAGGTAGCTGGGACTACAGGAGTGTGCCACCACACCCATCTAATTTATTTTTGTATTTTTTGTAGAGATGGGGTTTAGCCATGTTGTCCAGACTGGTCTCAAACTCCTGAGCTCAAGCAATCTTCCCGCCTCTGCCTCCCAGTGCTGGGACGACAGGCATGAGCTACCCACGTCTCGCCAGGGGGTTGGTCTTAGTATTAGGCCATTCTTGTGCTGCTATAAAGAAATACCTGAGACTGGGTAATTTATACAGAAAAGAGGTTTAGGCCAGGTGCGGTGACTCACGCCTGTAATCCCTTCACTTTGGGAGGCCAAAGCAGGAGGATCACTTGAGGCTAGGAGTTTGGGAGCAGCCTAGGCAACATGGTGAAACCTTGTGTCTACTAAAAATACAAAAAATTATCCTGGTGTGGTGGTGCATGCTTGTAGTCCCAGCTACTTGGGAGGCTGAGGTGGGAGGATCACCTGAGCCCAAGAGGTTGAGGCTGCAGTGAGTTGTTACCACACCACTGCACTCCAGCCTGGGTGACAGAGCAAGACCTTGTCTCAAAAAAAAAAAAAAAAAAAAAAAAAGAAAGAAAGACATTGCTCCACTTCTTGCTTCCATTTTTTCTTTTCTTTTTTTTTTTTTTGAGACAGAGTTTCTGTCTGTCATCCAGGCTGGAGTGCAGTACTATGACCTCTGCCTCCCAGCCCATTGCTTGCATTATTTCTGACAGGAAATCTGCCATCAGATCGTTCCTCTTAATGTAATGTGTCTCTTGTAGGTATGTGGCTGCTTTTAAGACTTTCTCTTGAGGCCGGGCGGGGTGGCTCACACCTGTAATCCCAGCACTTTGGGAGGCTGAGGCAGGCGGATCACTTGAGGTCAGAAGTTCAAGACCAGCCTGGCCCACATGGCAAAACTCCATCTCTACTAAAAATACAAAAATTAGCTGGGCATGGTGGTGCATGCCTATAATCCCAGGTGGTTTGCAGACTGAGGCAGGAGAATTACTTGAACCCAGGAGGTGGAGGTTGCAGTGAGCCAAGATTGTACCACTGCACTCCAATCTGGGTGACAGAGCAAGACTTCATCTTAAAAAAAAAAAGAAAAAAAAATTCTCTTTATCTCCAGTTTTGAGCATTTTGATTAAGGTGTGACTTTGTATAGTTTTCCTTGAGTTTCTTATGGTTACCTTCCACTGGGATTCCTTGAGTGGATGTAGTGAAATTACTTGGAAGCAGTTTGCTCCTTTTGGGTCATGCTTTTACTACTTAATAGATGGGACCAAGGATCAATTTACTAATCAGAATCCTTCAGTGTCCTGTGAACTGTGAGGTTTTCCAGTGTGGACGGTAGGAACAGGCACTCTTCCTGGCCCTGTGCGTGCCAGGTACTCTTTCCTCTAATCCCTTCAGGTAGCTCTTTCCCCAGTTTTGAGTAGTTTCCTCACATTTACACATGGGTCATACACCAATCTGCTAAATTCTCAAGGCAAACATAATGCAGATCCCTGGAGTGCTCTCTCTCTGCAGCTCTCCCATTCCTGGTCATCTGTCCTGCAAACTCAAACTACCTTGGTCTTCCCGGACTCTCAGCTCTACCTCCTCAACTCAGAGAGTCCTCTGGGCTCCATCTGGGTCTTCCCTCTCTGCACCACATTCTCTGTCAAGGCAGTGAGCTGGGGCAAACTACCCTTGTGTGTTTTATTTTATTTTATTTTATTTTATTTTTTGAGACAGGGTCTCACTCTGTCACCCAGACTAGAGTGCAGTGGCACGATCTCAGCTCACCGCAGCCTCCGCCTCACAGGCCCAAGGGATTCTCCTGCCTCAGCCTCCTGAGTAGCTGCCACCACTGCCCAGCTAATTTTTTGGTATTGTTAGTAGAGACAGGGTTTCACTATGTTGGCCAGGCTGGTCTTGAACTCCTGACCTCAAATGATCCACCTGCCTCGGCTTCCGAAAGTGCTGGGATTATAGGCGTGAGCCACCACACCTGGGTCCCTTATTTGTTTTCATTCTCTCAGGGATCACTGTTTTTCATTACCTAATGTCTAATAACTTGAAAACCAGTGTTTAATGTATTTTGTCCACTGTTTTTGATTTTTCTGGCAGGAGGGTAAACCCCCTCTTGGCCAAAAACTCAAGACTAGGCTGGGCGCAGTAGCTTACGCCTGTAATCCCAGCACTTTGGGAGGCCAAGGCGAGTGGATCACCTGAGGTCAGGAGTTTGAGACCAGCTGGCCAACATGGTGAAACCCCATCTACTAAAAATATAAAAATTAGCCGGGTGTGGTGGTGGGTGCCTGTAATCCCAGCTACTCAGGAGGCTGAGACAGGAGAATCACTTGAACCCAGAAGGCAGAGGCTGCAGTGAGCCGAGATCACACCACTGCACTCCAGCCTGGGCAAGACAGAGCGAGACTCTGTCTAAAAAAAAAAAAAAACTGAAGCCCCTGCAGTGTAAGTAGTATTCATTTATCCTTAGATCATCAAATAGAAATATTGTAACCTTTTTTTCTGATTAAAAATCCTTGTGTGATCCATTATTTAAAGAAAACTAGATAAAAATACAAAGAAAAATTAAGTTACTGGTAATTCCATCATCCAGAGATGACATTCTCTGAACCATTTATTCCATGTGCCACACTATTCTACAGCCCCAGGGGCATACTTGGTGCTCAGCATATGTTTATAAACCCACAGACCTTTTTCTGTACTTACAATAATCACCATTTTATATTGCACTCTATTCATCTATTCAACACATATTTATTGAGCTTCTACAAGGGTTTGGGTGGTAAACATATTAACATTTCACTTGAAATAGTTTTCAATTAAGTTTGAGCAAATTCATTTGTGGACTTTCGTTAAAATGTTCATTTGTTCATAATAATATAATTTGGATTTAAATAGCCCGTTCTAATTAATTTATTTTTAGGAAATTTTCTTCACATATTAATTTTATTTAGAAAACCTTTGAACTGGGCCGGGTGCGGTGGCTAATGCCTATAATCCCAGCACTTTGGGAGGCCAAGGTGGGTGGATCAGTTGCGGTCAGGAGTTTCAGACCAGCCTAGCCAACATAATGAAACCCCATCTCTACTAAAAATACAAAAATTATCCGGGCGTGGTGGCAGGTACCTGTAGTCCCAGCTACTTGGGAGGCTAAGGTAAAGAGAATCACTTGAACCCAGGAGGCGGGGGTTGCAGTGAGGCGAGATCACACCACTGCACACCAGCCTGGGTGGAAGAGTGAGACAACGTCTCAAAACAAACAAACAAACAAAAAAACCCAAAACAAAAACCTTTGAACTGATTGTAGTGCTCAGTAAAGTCTGTCTACATTCCTCAGACTTAAACCTACTATTGAGCTGTTTAAATGACTGTCTGCTACATAATAGCTTTCCTTTACCAGTAACCTTTCCTTCTGCCCTATCTGTGGGCTTCATTCATATGCCTATGGCCACTGAACTTTCAACTTTTCCTGCTATATTCTGAAAAAGTAATACGGTTTCAGAGGGAAATAGCACCACATCATTGCTGACAGTGAGTCAATTCTGCTGTGCATTTAGCCACCTACTGCTCTGCTGTGAAACTTACTTTAAGTTGTCTTACAGAGGACAACGGAGCTCTAGAGGGAACCAA